CTGAATACTCATGTATTTAAAAAAATGGTCGACACCGCTCGTGATTGTTTATATTACTCCTTAGCCCTGGACGAATCTGTTGATATTACTGACAAAAATTAGCTATTCATTTTTGTTAGATGCATCAGCGAAGATTTTTGTGTAACTGAGGAACTTCTAAAACTGCACCACAGGTAAAACGGGACCAAATTTATAAATATATTTCAAGCAGTTAGTGACGCTGTGAAAAATATACGTGGTTTTCAAAAGTGCTGACAAGACGCATAACAGGATTAGCTAAAATGGTGTGTTATGTTTCATTGCATTATCCATCAAGAGGCTCTCTGCGGAAAGCTAATTAAAATCAACGATACTATAAAAACTGTAGTGCAGAGAGTAAACAGCTTAAGAGGAGGAAACAGAACGCAACGACACCGAAAATTCATATTTTTATTGGAGAAATTAAATGATGAATATAAGGACGTTCCCCTACATTCAGAGATACGCTGGCTGAGTGTAGGTAAATGCCAAAGCAATTTTTTCTTGAAGAAAAGAGATCTTACTGTTTTTTGAAACGGTAATTGTTATTAACACGAACGTATTTATAACAAAGCTTGAGAACAAAGCATTTCTTCATGAATTGTCATTTCTAGCCGTCATTACCGCTCACTTGAACACATTAAACCTACAATTCCAGGGGAAAAATAAAACAGTATCACAAGTGGTATATGCAAAGAAATTGAGAGATATGGTCAGAATAATTAGCCGAGAGATCTATTTAGAAAAATACGCTACCTGACAAGAGACTTCAGAGCCAGAACTTGGGAAATTGAAGATAACACTGGAACCCTGAGAACAAATAGAGAAGACATAGCAGACACATGGAGATCGTATTGTAGGGACCTATATATATAAAGATGATCAACGCCAAGAGCTTGTTAGCCAAATCTCTGACGAGGTGGAAGAAGAACCTGATATACTCGAAAATGAACTAAGACAGGCTATCAACAAGCTCAAATATAACAAAGCACCAGGTCCAGATATGATAACAGCAGAAATGCTTAAAGCCACAGAAGAAACCGGCGTAAAGTTACTTCATCTACTCTGTAATCAAATATGGCATTCCAAACAATGGCCTGAATATAATCAATGAAAAACTGAAAAGATTCCTTCAAAGAGAAATTCCACAAGAGCAAACTGGATTTACCAAAGGTAGAGGCACTCGAGAACACCTGCTGAATATAAGACAGATAATCGAGAAATCTAGGGAATTCAACATCCCACTATACATCTGTTTTATAGATTACCGTAAAGCGTTCGACAGGGTCAAGTGGTCAACACACTACTGGATCAGTTAAAGTACTTGACACACTTTCGAACGAGTTTCATCCAGAACGGGGTGTCAGACAATATGATCCATGTGAGATGTATACTATCTCCACAATTATTCAACATATATGGGGAGTATATTATCCGTAGAGCACTTGAAGGATGGGAAAAGGGCATCTCAATAAATGGTCATAAACTAAACAACCTACGTTTCTCAGATGACACAGCCCTTCTTGCCAATAGTCAAGCAGAGCTGATGGAACTTATACGACTGATCGAAAACGAAAGTCAAATATTTGGTCTGCAATTAAACATATCAAAGACAAAGATCATGATAGTGGATAGACTACACAACAATCATCCACACATAACCACAATTGACCGGTTCGAGGTTGTGAGCTCATACTTATATCTGGGATCATTAATCACAAACACAGGGTCATTACAAGAAGAGATTAAACGTAGATGTGATCTAGCAAAAGTTTCCACAGCAATAATGACCAAAATATGGAAGGACTGTCAAATTTCAAGAGCGATAAAGATAAGGTTGATCAACTGCTTAATATTCCCAATACTGACCTACGGATGTGAATCTTGGACTCTGAGACAATCGGAGAGAAGAAAGATAGACGCCACTGAAATGTTCTGTTGGAGACGAATGTTACGAATTCCTTGGACCGACGGTAGAACAAAAAATTCAATTTTAAGAGAGCTTAAAGTTAGCCAACGACTCTCTAGTAAAGTCCATCTCCAACAATTAAAATATTTTGGGCATATTATGAGAGCAAACACAGAAAACATGGAAAGACTCATAATACAAGGAAAGGTTAGAAGGCCGAAGATCACGAGGAAGATCCCCAACAAGATGGATAGATCAAATTACAGGAATATGTCAAAGACCTATGCATGAATTAAAAGAAATGACCAGAGACAGAGATCTCTGGAGACGGACAATACACGACATCACGTCGACCACTACACTCCCCCTGGGGGGTCAGGATTGAAGAGAGATATCACAAGTGGTTGATCAAATTGAGATATTTTGCAAAAAACTTGATCTTTTCGAGAACTGCATAAAACTAAATACCCTCGGACATTTTTCTGCGTGTTTCGAAATAAATAAAAAAGAAACTATGACCGATTTCTCGAGGTTTGCCTTCTTATAGTTATTTTGCTGCCTTATTACAAGTTCTTACAGAAATGAAAAAGAGAATTCGATGAAAGGTTTTCGAAATTTAATACACTAAAACACGATCTTGAGCTTTTTAACAATCCAATGGGAGTAAATATCCAGAACCAATCAGCAGAATACAATTCAAGCAAAGAAAAATGAAGACATTAGTACCTTTTGGAAGTTAGTCTCCAAGGATCGTTTTTCTAAACTTCGTAATTTTGCGTTGAAACTATATTCAATGTTTAGTATTACATGTATATGTGAAAGTATATTTTCTGCTTTGAAGCATATTAAATCTAAAACACGTAATCGCATGGAAAACGATTCTCTGGAAGCGAGTAATAGATTTACTACAACTAGCATAAATGTAGATTTGCAAAAGTTAGTAGAGGATAAACCCTTGCCTCAAATATCCCACTGATTTTTTTTTATATTAAATTTTAAACGTGACATGTAAATTGTAAAAATAATAAAATACTTGTGAATAATAATTCGTTTTATATTATTTTTTAAAATAAACTTTTTTTGAACAGTTCTTTTCTCAAGCAAAGTAGGAACTCTAATTTGATCAAAAATTAGAAAGTAAACAGATTTATAACGAAAAAACTGCAATGTAAATGTAACCTAACTAAAACATTTATAAGACTACCGATTTAACCCACTTTTTACTGCCTTGTCTTTACTTTTAGCAGAATTTATTCCAGTTTTGCATATGCACCACCGATAACCCAAGGGAGAAAACTCAAAAGGCTTACTATACGTGACAACTAGTTAAAGTGTAAAATTATACATAAGCCAACCGACCTAATCCTGCTTTGGACATTCCAATAAAGAAACTTTATGTGAGACAGGGAAAGATATGTATCAAATGGATTGTTACAGTAATTAGAGAGCAACTTCGCAATTTCGAACTATTATAAGCTTCAAATTTCCTGTACATTAATTCTGCTGTTCGAGGGATTAGTTTGAGGATTTCAAGCTCTACTCGAAACGTACAAAATTGCCCGTGCATTTGCAGATATTAGAGTAATAAATATCGATCTAGGATTTAATTGATACCACTGAATTAAAAAGTCAATTCTTCATCAAGACATTTTTTTATTTATACAATCTAAAATTGTGTTGTAATTTTCATAAAGAAAAAAGTTTAATGATTATTTTTCTAAAAATTTTTATTTAAAATCCTTTATAAAAGGTATATAATAAAATGCCCAAACGGGCTATCACAAAGATATTGCAAAACGTGTTCGGATTATTAAATCCATCATCAGTGCAAACGAAGTATACATGCTATGAGCCACCAAAATATATGGGTCCAAACCCTTTAAATGATATAAATTTACATTTGATTTACATTATATGTTGTTACAAATTATGATGTTTAAGTTACCGTTGGAATTGGTAACATGGCGACGTATGACCCTACATAGGTAAAATGGTCCTGAGACGAAGTGTCTTGGAGGACCTGTTGATAATAACTGAGTTGTTATCAACAGGTCCATTTTAAAAAAAATTCTATTTTATTTCAAAGTTATTATATTAAATATATAAGAAGTTTAACACTACCTTATAACATTAATAGAATAAAAAAGTTAGTATAATCGAGGGACTTACCGTAGGAAATGAAATAGGAAATTAAGAAGTCGAAATCACTTCTTGCGTCAAAGATAACAGCTCAATGGACACAAAATAAATATAACTGTCACATGCTCATGCATATATTCAGACTAACTGAAAAAATACAATACAACACCACTATCAGTAAGTGTACCGCTACATCTAAAAAATAAATCCAATGTAAGCTGAAAGGGGTGGCCGAATAATTCAGCAGGAAATGAAAGTTCAAATATCTCGGAATGGACATCACGGGCTGCAGCGACGTCAACGAGTCAGTTTGACATCAGATGTCGGTATCATTCCATGATATGTCCTAGCAAGTATTTAAATATATAAACAGAGCATAAACACATGAACAAAACATTGCAAAACAAAGTAACTGGTGACTACTACAAAACTTAAAATCCTTCATCTGACCGACTGGAAAACACTTTAGAATATGAATTAAAAATTTAGATTTAAGAACCCGTTATATTGACAATATAATAAAGTAGACCAGTAAAGAAATTTGAAATATAATAGGTTAAATAGCAGTGTCAGCGAAACTTCCAGTTTACATAAAATGAATGTGTAAAGACCTGCTTTCAAAGTTACATTCTTAAGTAAATTGAATGTTACTTTTTGTTAGAATTAAAAATAAACAAAGAAATTATTTTTCTTAATTTAAGTCTACCGTATAACAACAACAACCGACTGATAATTCCTAACTGCATTACAAAATATGTTCATTCGGAAGATATATAAATTTTAATTTATGTCTTACTGAAATAGCAATTAAGTGAAAATACCATTCCGAAAATCTAAAAAAAATGTTATTTTTAGAAAAAATAGCTACCCACAAGCACTTTACAACATTCTGATTAAAAAAGAAATTGCATTTTTCTTCTTGTAGTTCCTTATCCTATCGGAGGTTGGCTATCATCACAGCTATCCGCACCTTATTGGCGGCTGCTCTGAAAAGATCTACTGAGCAGCAACGATACCATTCTATTAGGTTTCTTAGCCAGGAAATTCTTCGTCTTCCTATGGATCTTTTACCCTGGATTTTAGTTTGCATTATGAGCCTTAATATCCCATATTTCGCACCTCTGGTCTTCTTCTTCTTTAAGTGCCTTTCCTATCGGAGATTGGATATTATTATGGCGATTCTAATTTTATTAACTGCTGTTTTGAATAATTCGTATTACTTTTTCATTAGTAATTCTATCCACCCAACTTCTTCTTAGTATACAGCAGTAGCACCACATCTTAAAGCTTTCAAGATTTTTAATATTCCTCTGTTTAAGAGTCCATGCCTCCACACCGTAAAGCAAAGTACTGAATACATAGCATTTTAACATTCTAGTTCGTAGATGAATACTAATATCACGATTACAAAATAATTTTTTTATTTTTATAAAGGTAGACCTGGCAATTTCAATACGCCTTTTTATCTCGTGATTTTGGTCACCTATTTCATTAATGAGGGTTCCCAAGTATTTGTATTCGCTTACTTTTTCAAGTTGGGTACCGTTTATTGTGATACCAGTGTCATGAATTGGATTCTTATTGAAGGTCACATATTTGGTTTTTTTGACGTTCATCCTTATGCCGTAGTTATTTCATATGTCATTTATACTTTCAACTAGATGTTGTAGATCTTCCGCTGTTCTTGCCATTATCACAGTATCGTCAGCATATGGAATGCTATTGATAACTTCTCCATTGACTATTATCCCTTCGTTTGCATGTAAGAGAGCTTCTTGGCATATTTGTTCGCTGTAGATAATAAACAAAAGCGGTGACAATATACAACTCTGTCGTACTACCTCTATTTCGTCCGATGTTTCGTCTTCCACCTTTATATTAGCTCACTGATTCCAGTACAGATTGAATAATATTTGCATGTCTCTGGTGTCGATGTTCTTATCTTCCAGGATTTCTTTGAGTTGATTGTGGCGTACTTTGTCAAAGGTCTTTTCAAAGTGTATAAAGCAGGCATGCACCTCTTGGTTAATATTTAGACATCTCTGTGTTAGGACATTTAAGGCAAAGAGAGCTTCTCTTGTACCTAATCCTTTTCTGAATCCCATCTGTGTACCGTTAATATCGATATCTAACTTTTGATAGATTCGGTTGTGGCACCTCTAGTAATGTATCCTAAATATTCCATCTTTCTTGTGTTGATGTGCTTTATGACCTCGTAATTATTTTGTAGCCTTCTTAATACTTCTGCATTTGTAACTCGTTGTGTCCATAGTGTTTTCAAAATCCTTCTATAGCACCACATCTCAAATGATTCAAACTTCTTTATATTATCCACTTTTAGTATCCAGCTTTCACTCCACGAGAACAAAGTCGAGAATACGTAGCATCTTAAGGCTTTTATCATCAGCTCCAGAAGAAGAATTCGATTAACAAACATTGTTTTCATTTTTATAAATGCTTGTCTTGCAATTTCAATGCGTCTCCTTATAGATTTCTCTACCTTAGTCATTGTTTTCATTTACCCAGGTTTCCAGATATTTGTAGTTCTTCACTTTTTCTACCTGTTTTTCCTCAATATCTAGCGTTCCTACTGTATGTTGCTTAGTTTTAGGAGATGTTTTTAGTTGGACGCCAACCGTCTCGGAGTGGTGACGGGACGAAGTGTCAAAGGTTTAACTCCCTCGGGCATCTTGTCCTGCCACAGCTTCGTTAGGGTATTAGAAACTCAACACTACCTGGGCGAGTCACATGTGTCTGCATGCAGATTTTCCTTATTTTCTTTAAAGATGTAACGGTAGAAAATTATATTATTATATTATATTATTTAGTACCAATGTTATACTGTATGTTTCCTAAATGTGTAAATTAAATTTAAATACGTAACATATATAGTAATTTAAAAACACTTTTTATTTATGTCTTATTGGATCCCTATCTTTATTTAAAAATAACTTGTTCCGGCAAAGATCTTTTGCTTGTAGTTAGACTTTGTATGTTTTAAATGGAACCTGATAACTATGTAGTTTGTAGTTTGGTTAATTTTTTTTAGTTTTTCTTTATTTCGAATAGAAAAGATTTTAATTTTACCTCACATTGTTTAACAAATTTGGCATTTTTTACTATGTGTAGTTGGTTTTTTAATTCAAATTTATTTATTTATATTAGCTACTTACGATAAATTACTTTATTCAATAACAAGTACGAGTTAGGAATATGAATTTAAGCTTGTCTAATCCACTAGAGACCTTTACATCCCAAATCATATTTTCCCGTCTCCCATATCACCCTTGACAATTCTAAACACATGACTGACGATATCCTGTCTTTGATTGGTTTCAGGATTGATCAGGGACCATACTCGGCATTCCAATGGCTGTCACTGTTTATTCAAACGTCAAACTAGACTGGTAAGTATCACTATATGCTCTCTATACTACTCATTCATTCTTGATGGTTTACTTATAAGCCTCTAAACGCAATTTATCTGTCGATATCATGTTCGGTTCATTTTGGGGATTAGGGTTTTACAGATTTGTAGTTGCCTCGTGGCGTTAAAAAATAATTAAAGGGATAAATATTAGATTTCTAATCTATTTAAATTTAAAATATTGAAATAAAAACACACATTAAAATAATGCTAAATCTTCTTAATATTTATAACTAGCTTCTCCATAATTGGACATAATAATGACATCTATCTACGATAATATTACAATTTAGGTCAACTTAATGTTCTTTTATTTTGATAATAGGGTATTTTACGAGTAAGGCAATATCACACAATAAATTGCCCTAATGTGTCTTCTGATTACAACCCTCTTATTGCTAGAAACCGATTTTAATTAATATAGACACAAATTAATCACAACAGATAATTGCCAACCTATTTTGTATTATATAAGTTGTATAATTCTAACCGATTAATATACAGTATTATAAAGGATTAGGTTCTTTCTGCGACTTATTTTTACATATTCTAATTAAGACTTGAAATAAATAATGTGGTAAGTGCCAAAATTATTATTTCGAAATCATCGATTTTTTTTTTCTACAATGAATTTATTAGAAATAACTTTCTCAAAATTAAACATAGGTTTATTTAAGTTAATTATGTTTTTGTGCATTAAATAATTTTTGCGAACTTTTTCTAAGACAATTCTAAAAAAATAAAACAGTTATAAAATCTTAGAATGTGCCAAGTGCCATCACAAAAATATAAAATATTGGGGTAAGTTATAATGAAAAACACAAAGCATGTAGGTTCTAAGGAGTATTGGGATTAAATAGGTCTTCATAAAATTTTTTATTTTCTTTCTTTTAAATAGGTAACCATTGCCAACAAGTTTTGTTTTTTTTTCTTAAGAAATTCTACTCTAGTAGGCTAATTTAGGAAGAGTCCTTTCTGCAATAGTTTTAATTGTAACATTTTTCTTTAACTTTGATGGTACACAAGGCAAATATCGAACACAGTATTTAATCAAATCTTGCCCAAGTACTTTCGATCACAAGATCATCTTCAGGGGCATCTGAAATAAGCCAAGAAACGTTTTATAAAAGGAAAATTAATTCACTTGGATAAAAACTCCAAGTTTATAGTTGAAAAAAGTTTTTTTATGTGATTAACGTTTATAGACTTACTTCGTCAGTTGTGGCCTATCCAGCAGTAACAGAATGTTATAAATGTAAATTGGGACATAACAAATACACTAAACAAAGAAAAACAAACACTTTAAAATTTAAAATTGGAGAAGCTACATTTTATATAGAAGCCGGAGACAGAATGGCTCCCAGCCTGGCGGAGGCGGAAATATTGAGATGACATGTGACAAATGACAGCTTGTGAAGGGCAGTTACAATAGATAAGTGATCTGCGCCTTTCAAGATTCTATGAAACTAAGTATTGACCAAAGGTCCAACTGACACCACTATAGGAAATCAACTGAAGAAATATAAAATTATATCTAATATTTTTATGTAGATTGAATAATCCAGATCTCACACTCAAACCTGTCTATAATAATTAGGATGTTAGTTTGAAAGCAATTGAAGTTGACATAAAGTATGAATGTAAACTAACTATTTGATCTCAAACTAACTTCCTAATTATTATAGACAGGTTTGAGTGTGAGATCTGGATTATTAAATCTACATAAAAATATTAGATATAATTTTATATTTCTTCAGTTGATTTCCTATAGTGGTGTCAGTTCTACCTTACCAGTCAATACTTAGTTTCATAGAATCTTGAAAGGCGCAGATCACTTATCTATTGTAACTGCTCTTCACAAGCTGTCATTTGTCACATGTCATCTCAATATTTCCGCCTCCGCCAGGCTGGGAGCCATTCTGTCTCCGGCTTCTATATAAAATGTAGCTTCTCCAATTTTAAATTTTAAAGTGTTTGTTTGTCTTTGTTTAGTGTATTTGTTATGTCCCAATTTACATTTATGACATTCTGTTACTGCTGGATAGGCCACAACTGACGAAGTAAGTCTATAAACGTTAATCACATAAAAAAACTTTTTTTAACTATAAACTTGGAGTTTTTATCCAAGTGAATTAATTTTCCTTTTTGGGCTTATTTCAGATGCCCCTGAAGATGATCTTGTGATCGAAAGTACTTGGGCAAGATTTGATTAAATACTGTGTTCGATATTTGCCTTGTGTACCATCAAAGTTCATTTATTCGAACATTCAACCTTATATTGATTTCTCTTTAAAACCTTTGTTGATTTCCAAGTTTCCAATTCATTCAAAGTTTCTCGGATTTTAACTTATCCCGGATTTTGTCGGTTAATGTTGATCCATTGAGCTTTTGCCATTTGAAGCTTGGATGTACTTATTGCACTTTCAGAAGCAACTTTAAAATCGAAGAAGTTCTCACGGGTTATATATGTAACAAGAAATGGTGTTTTATTTTAGCTGTTGTCATTATTCTTACCAAATCCTTAGGTACCGCACTTATCTTTTGCTTTTTCCGCTTTTCAATCTGCTCATCGTAAATGAATGACCCCATACTAGATACTTGTGATTTATCTCATCGAAATACCCATTGAAAACTAAATAAATCCATAAAAACTAACATTTTATTTTTATTTTGTCCGGCACAGTTGTCGCTCCAAATTGTTATTTTTAGTTTCTGTGTCCGTATATTATTGAATGCTTTCAACACACATGACGCTATCTCATTCCCTCCACATCCTGTTATACCCTCATGCCACAAAAACATGAAACCAGTGTTATTGTCCCCTAGGTGAACACAAAGGTTGTAGTTGGAAAGCTGTCGCATATAATACATTTAATTATGAGTTACAGTTGGCAATAATAAGATCTGCTGTAGATCAATAGAAACTGTCATGGTGTCACTCGTGAGTTACTAACAATTCTGATGGTCTTTTCTTAATGCTTTTACAGCTACTTCAGCTTTTCGGTGGTAAAGTTTTAACTTAAATTGAGCATCTTTCTGTATGGGATCTGTGCATGTGCAGTAAATCACAGGTAGCACAGGTATCCGTTATAGGCTTACGAAAGCTTACATCGGGAAAATTCTTTTTGAAAATTTGAAAGTAAAAATCATAGCCCACTGCTGAATCAGGATGAGCTTGCTTAAAAGCCAAGTAAAGTCTATTTATATAGAGATCGGAGATAGATACTGTTTCTCGCTTTTTAAACTGTTGTAATGTCCCACGTCTCTAGGAAATTTGTTTATGTGCTCGATGACCAATGCCCTTCCGACATGAACTTTTTAAACTGCAGTTTATTACTTCTCCTTTCTTTATAAACTAAATATCCTTTTTTTTCAACTTAGCTGATGTTTCAATTTGTCTTGGAGTTATTCCAAACACCGCGCAAAATGTCTTCCTACACACCTCTAAAATGTTGCCTTCTCCGTTGGGCAATATGAAGTAAAGCGTAACCTGTCTCTTACTCTCTTCTGGTGGCTCATAATTTCCATGCCTTCTCCTCTTGATAGTACACACATGGATAAAATTTATAGAATACGTATTTTGCCGTACATTATCATTCAAACCATAAAATTTGTAAAAAAGCCTCAATTTCTGTTCATACTGTATCTGTTTATACTTGAAGTTGCATTTGCACAATATCTAAAACAAAATTTCAGAATAACTATATATATATATATATATATATATATATATATATATATATATATATATATATATATATAAACAAACAACACAGTTTATTAGGGTTGCAGTCAGAATTTTCTGACTGCAACCCTAATAAACTGTGTTGTTTGTTTATATCGACAGTCAATAATATCCAGTATTTCTTGTATATATATATATATATATATATATATATATATATATATATGTATGTATATATATATAATATAATCGGTTTAAAACGTCCTCCGACGTCTTCCGATGCCCAATCTCCATGCTTCTCTATCTTCCCAAAGATCTTCGTCTA